TACTGGGAAAGTTAATGAATTTCAGAAAAGGAATCAGAGGATCCTACTACTTGTGCTTCTACTCTTGATTTCCTGTAGTTTCTGGCAGACATGCTGTGTGTCTTGAAGCTCTCTGATGGTACCACCTGCTCATAACTCTGAGGTAGTAATTCAGATGGAGGCAGAAGGTCATGTATCCAGTGATTAACAAGGAAACACCTCAAAATCATCATGTGTAAGGAGTGCAGACACACTTTTTTTTTTTTTTCTCCCCCCAAGAGTTAAGCTACTGAGCCTATAGTGGACAAATCAAATTACTGTGACTTTCCATGCCTGTATGGCTGTAGGGAAGAGCCATCATCAGCCAACACATTTTGTGGGCATTAGCACCTTGGATTGACAAGATTATATGGCAATTAAAAATGCATTACTCAAACGGTGTTAACAAGCAAGTCTTAAGAAAACCTAAAACACAAAGCCCTTTTAGTTATATCACATTTTGGCATAGAACAGGATACTTAATGGTCTTAAGGGATAATATTTTTTATTGAGGACTTAGACTTACTATTGGTGAATATTTAAAGTATATAGAGAAATATCAAAGCTTCTATAAGAAAACAGCTTCTATAAGAAAACAGCTTCTGTATGCTTCTTTGGGGCTTAATAGTGACAAAATAGTGCCTTTTGTGTATATAAATTCATTTTGCTAACAAATATGGTTGCATACTATCCTTTTTTCTCTTTCTTTTACAACCTATCCATGTAGTCAGCAATATAAAGATATAAAAGTTTGATCAGACCCTTATTGGCTGTTAAAGGACACTGAAAACAACTAGTTAATTGCAAGAAAATGTAAAAATAGAGTACATGGTCAATATTGTACCAAACAAAAAGAATTACAGATGCAGAATTTCATTAGGGAAAAAAAAGTCAGATAAGCAGAAATTGCATTTCCTTGATGATGGTAAAGGTGTTAAATGTAGTCAGTTGGATGGTAATGATAAAATAATTTGGAAAAAAAAATCTAATTTAAAAAAAAAGTTCAGCACAAATAAATGGGGGAAAGCTGAAGGAATATTGTGCCTTTTATAGGACAAAAAGTCTAACCAAGTCATGAAAAAGATGCTACTTATCCTATAGGTAATGGATAGTATTCTGTTACCCCTTTTTATTTAATCTGGCAATATGTAGTATATGCCTTACAACTGGAACGATACCTAGTAGTGCTAAGCATTGCCAAGCCTGTCTGCCTGTAACTTTTGGCACAAAACTTCAAAATCACAAAGACTGAAACTCTGTCCTCTTTGTACAAACATCCTGGATTTTTTTAGGTCACAGGACGCAACAACAACTGGCAATTTCTCTGGCCTGCCCTCAGAAGCTTTTCATCCTAGGTGAATATCAGCATCAAGGGATGGGTACATTACTCTGGCAGTAGTCTCCTGCTTGTGGCCAATTTCTTCTCCAAGGCCTTTATGGCTCCTCTTCCCTACTTGTCAACTACAAGTTCAGCCATAGATAGAATAAGCAATTATGGGATCCCAGGAGAAACAACGACCAGGAATGGGGCTGCCACCACCAGAACACTTAATCCTGCTTCCTGCCTGAGGTCTGTGAATTGCTGCAGTGGTTGCAAATTTCTTCCTTCCCAAGAGTGCCACAGGTTCCAGCAGACAGCAGGATACAGGCAGGACATGAGTGTGTGTTTATGTGTGTGTGTGTGCTGAAGTTGATCTATGTGCTTGAAATAGACCTAACACTTCAGAAAAGAGCCTGACTAATCGGGCCTGGACACATGAATATAGTGTGTTTTCACTGTAGGAATGGGCATGGTCCAGAGGGGAAACCACAGCATATGCACTTCTCTTCCAGCCTCTGAAAATGGGTAGGTGCTTCCACATGACTGGGGCTGGCCTAGGATTTGTTTTTACCTTTCACTTAGAGCACACAAAACATGCCAAAACCATGAGGAGATGCTCAAATAAAGGAACATTAAAACTTTTTGCATTAATTAAGCCCACAGAAGATGAGATAAGACAATTAATTAATTATACATGTGCAGCGCTGCACAGGAAAAATTGTTTTGCTTTAACTTACATTTGTAAGAACTATTTAATGTATTATAGTATTATTTTTCCCACATGAGTTTAGATTATTGCTTTTAGCAACAGGTGTTAGAATATACCTGGCAGTACGTGGTAATCAAGTGTATGGGAAGTAAACATTGAACCTTATTCTCAGCATATTAGATATGGTGAACAGGATCAAAAACAAACATTTGATGAAAATCTACACAACTGACTTTAATGGAAACTGACTATTTCACTCTATTCATAAAACTTATCACAGTTGCCATCTAAACAACTCGATTGTTCTCTGCGCCTGCCCTATATTTTCTTTATGTTGAAGAATGAGAAACAATGAGCTACATGAAATTATTTGGTAAAGACCTACTGGAGCAGCAGGAACAATGCCAATAACTGACTTTCACCTCATATAGTCTTTATTTAAAATAATTGATATATTTTGAATATTGCACAACATGTTTCTGATGCTGGAAGATCTGTATAGACCAGGCTCCGAGACTGTAGAGGGCCTCGCTCATAAGGACAAAGACTACAACTGCACAAAGTCTATCCACAGATCTTCACATTTTTAAGAGTATTTTAGTTATGGGCTGTTGTTATTATGTTGTTGGAGTCATTAACATGTTTCATTTATACTTGAATGTTCCAGATTGCTGTTGAACTTAGGAACATAATGTCCAGTGAAGCATCACATGAGATAACTTCAGCTAGGTCATTAGATTTTTAATTAAAGTACAGTAGTACGTTAAAAGCTGTTGGCCTCTTGCATTCAGGTAGAATAAATTGCATAAAATGTGAATGCTTCATATTGCTCATTGCTCTTCTGCTTTACCATATTATGATATTTCATACTGCATAATAACTGATAATGATACAGCCACTCAGCATATTTAGCTGAGAAAGAAGTCACTTAGAGTCATCCTGATCCTGCAAAGTACATATCTTTATGGTAGTGGATAATATAATGGATGTGAAGAGCACTAATTTTCATGATGTAAAGTAGGGTGAAGTAATAGTAATAAGGTAGTAAAGTAAGGTAAAGGAGTCCCTGTATAAGTATTCTACTTTTTCAGATAGTTTCTTATAGTATAGACATCTTGTTAAAATAATAATAAATATTCCAAAAGTTACCTGGGCCTGAGTTTTTTTTTCTTTCTAGATAATTGGCTGAATTTTTTATTATCATATTTCTTTAGATAGTATTTGCAAAAAGAAATGCTGCATTGGTGCAGTAACTGATAATAAAGGGTAGTTATTCTATGGCCATTGTGAGAATGGTGGTATTATCTTGCTTTGCAGCATATTGGCATCAGTAGATTTTCCTTCAGCTTAAACACAATTGAACAGGGACTTAACAGGTAACCAGTGGAGCATTTATACCCCAACATAGTGGAACTTTGCCCATGGAAGTGTTTCTGTGGGGGCAAGCTGCTGCTTGAGTAAATCACATGCAGAGGTTTTTCTATTGTAGCAAATAAAGCTTTTCATGGTAAATTGGAAAATCATTTGCATTGTTTTCTGCTTTCTTTTTCTTGTTTTTCCTGATTATTTTGTAACTTTTATGACTGAATTGAAGGTCATGTGTCTGCATAACTATTAGTAGTACCTCTTCTTTTTAATTACCTGAGGGAGTGGTGGCAAAGGGGGGTTTGCTGGGGTTTGCTCTGGGAATGGGGATGTGGGTTCCCAACTACCCGCTAGACCCGGCTCCTTCTGCAGTGCTGAGGGGCAGCGGCTCCTGACACCCCAGGGGCCTCTCTGCTCGGCTCTGCTTGGCTCGTGGTGCCTTATCCTGTGATTTGACATGGCTCTGATATACTTGTAGGATAGGGAGATTTATCAAGTGCCAGATACATCAAATAAATTGCTGATAACTAATAAACTGTGTTGTTCAGTGTACTTTATTACATAGTGGTAACAAAGAAGATTTTGTTGTTTCTTTTTAAATTTGGTCAACCGTGCCTCAAAAAGCTTCAAATGACTTAAATGATTTAGCTTTTTTTTATTTTTTACTTTTTTTATTGGGCACTGAGTAACCTGTTTGATACTGACTCATTCATCAAATAAGTACTTCAGGAAAAGATATCCTGTCAAGTGCAGCAGACAAAGCTCTGAACAGCATTTTGCTGCTAATGACTCATAGAACGTTATTGCAAAGGTTGTAAAATGACACATTATTATCTACTAGACATTGATCACAATTATATCACTGATAAAGGGAAAATATATCAAATGTTGTGTTGCAAATATGTCCTTCAATGAAAGAAATGTTATTGGCATAATTTCAACAGTAGCTGTGTGATGCTTCTAAATGCAGAATAAAAGTGTTTTGGATATCCTCTGGATGAAAGGAGTTATTTCTCTGAGTTATTCATTTATTCATTTTCATTTAATATTCATGTTATATCATACATTATAAAACTTTGACCATTTTGCTTTCAGACACTGCAGAACCCTGATAATTATGCTCTGTGTAAAATACAATTCCCTGGTTTACCTGCCTGCTTGGACTGGATGGCAGAATCTTAATTTGCTGTCATAGATTTCATGGTGCTTTGCTCATATCACACAGTTACAATAAGCATGTTACGCATACAGTCTACACCATCTTTTTCAGGCAGAATACAGGGACTTTCATCCTTGCAAAATGAATAATTACACTAGGATATTAATTTTTGTGTTTGCTTTTGGATTTATTAGCTCTAACAGTAAAAAATACATCAATTAGCTTTTATGGTCTATCTAACTACCTCTTACCTCAGAGAAGCTCAGAGCTTTCCATTTACTGGTTCTGTGAATAACTTTCTAAAAACAGACTGTTTTTAGGCAGTTGGATAGGTGGCATTTTTG